AGCCGTTTATATTTAGTATGTTAATTGCTAATTCTAGGTATTATTTAATTAAAGTCCCTCCATGTATATACGACTTTTTACTGTTGAATGATTTTTATTTATTCCATAAAGCTTATTCTTTAAACATAGTTTAAAAACTGGAATGGAATTTTCGTAATAGATTTCTCCATATTATTTGTGTCTTACATATATGTGACTGAGTTTGTACACATATATGGATAACCTATTAAAGCTATGGCTTACCATGTTGGGTCACTACGACTAGTTCATTTATTTTATTTTCTATGCAAATTTTGTATTTTATTTAAAGCAAAAAATTTCTACTTTTGCATTATTTGCATAAGTGGAAAGCCCCAAAACAGAAATTATAAAGTTCCTTGCTGAGCACATGAGTTTTATAAGTCATTCCTGCTGTTTTATTTTGTTGCACTGCAACCACAGGACAATGGCAATGTTGTTTAAGAAACGTTGGACGACCGACTTTGCAGTCGACCAGGCGGTTACTGCAGGGGTGTGTCACTGAAGATATATGTTTAAGTAATGCAAGAAAATTATAGTCGACAGTAATTGCAGTAGAAAAATAATAGAATTCTTTATTTGTTAAAATATGTGTAAAGATAATGCCGGAAAGCAAAAATGTTTTATGACAAAAGAAATGTTTTTTTTTTTGTAATTTGCATTAGTACATACATATATTTCAGCTAGTTATATATCACTCGTAGATATGTTGGTCTGTATTTATGTTTGTTTAAGAGTTCAGCTTCATTTGTTTGCATTTTGCCCAGTGTTATGGCTTGTGCCTGATAAGTACGAAGTCCAGTTAATAAATTATTAAGGAAAAGGCGTGTAGGGACAATTTGTAAATAAAAACTTAAGTAGTACTTATTTATTCTATAATTTCGAGTTAGTAAAATAAAAAGTATTGATATTTATGATCGTACGTATGTGAGTAATTAAATGGGTGTGCTACTTTAAGACTTTAAGTATTAAAATGAAATATTACTTCTTCCTTTTATATTCTTCAATAATCTTACAAACAGTTTCTTTTCTATATCATTTAAATGTTTCCAATATACTTTTATTTAAAAATATAGTAGTTTTAACGAAACAAGGAAACAAAACGTAATATAATGATTTATAATTAAAAAGTGGAGTATCCTACAACAAAAAATCTCACTTTGAATACAAAAAGTGAAGACGTTGTATAATAATTTTAATTTTAATTGAAGTGTAGAGGTTTCCAACAATAATGAATTGCAACAACAAAAACTTTTATTTTTTTTATTTAATTGATTTTTTGTCTAAATATTATACCCAAGTACGCATTATCAGTGTAGTGAGATACACTTAGTCGCAAAAGCTACAATAGGCTTAAAATAAAATTCAGTATATTTATTAAAGTGAATTTTGAGTTGACTATAAAGCTACTTTAGATATTGCCCAATATCCATCTTTAGAGTTGTTTAAAAGCATATATTTGTTTGATTCTCTTTGGTAAAACATGCGAACAACTTTCAAGATGTTACGGTATTACCATTTTCTAATATTTGAATGAAATACTTGAGAAATTATCGCCACAAAATTAGTTGACTTAAATAAGTATATATATTTATTGTTATTATCTCAAAATTTTTATAATCTGTGGTTTCCCTAAAACCTTACTTGGTATCGGGTGAATAGAATAAAAAATGCAATTCTAAGAAAATAATTTTAAATGGTTTCACAAAGAGTTGACTTAGGAACTGCATAATTCTGTATTTAAGGTAAGGGTTTTTGAATTCTTGAGAAATACGTTTGTTCCTTATCGTATATATAGACTTTTAAATAAATTACCAACTATTTACCAAACGGTGTGCTGTTTCTTTAACACGTACTTCTACTTAAACTGTAAAATAATAATCAAAGAGATGACTTTATGATTAATTATGGTGTTTAAAATGAAACTTAGTTGTTGTTAAAAAATATAAATGTTTTATTAATAATGCAAAAAATATCATTTTGAATTTGAAGTTAATTAATTTAATCAGACAAATGTATTCTTTTTAATGAATAAGCTGGTGTCTTATGTCAAAAAGAACCTGCATAACCTCATTAGAAATGTCATGCAATATTGTAATAAGGAAATTAGATTAAAATAAATCCCTTAATATATCAAAGTATATCCATATAACAAACTTAAAACGTTCAACAATAAATCAACATAATTTCCATGAATTATTGAATGACATAATTTTTGCATAACGAAGGAGTATAAAACTCGATTTATTATGTTTACTTTTAAAAAAATGATTAAAATTATGACTGAATTACAATGAAGTTTCAACGGCCTTCGCAGCCTTCGAAGCCTTAACTGCTTAAGTCATTTATTTTCACATCTCATTGAATCGTCCAGGATTCAGGATATTAGCAATTAAAAATATTAAGTATAATAATTGTAAGTTTAGAGTAAACTGGAAACTGGAGTAGGAGTACAATAAATTGTAATTTTCCTTTCAATTGCAAGAATTTCTGCTTCGTCTACATTCAGGCTTGTGCACTTCAAGTTGACATTCTGACTGAGGCGCATTAATTAAATTAAGTCCTCCAAATAGGATATCGTCTTTGTGTTTGTTTTATCTCAGTTTCGCTTTACATAATTTCTTTCTAATGGTACTAAGAATGCACTGAGATGTCAGCGACAAAGTATAAAAACTTTAATGGGAACAAATAAAAAACAAACCATGAAGAAGGAGGCTGCAGCAGTATCTGGGCCCTGCAACGGACGCGCTTCCAGCTTTTTAGCTTCATTTAAAATAATTGCGCGTTAGTGCGCACACAGAATGTACATTTACTAAATTAAAACTAAGAAGTAATTAAAAATTAATTAAGTCGGAGAGCCAATATTATGACAGTGCAGTGTGTTAAGTGCCCATTGGCTGTTATGCCAACAAAAGTCGTGCCTTTTAACTTTAAAAAAATTATTTGCGTCTTCTTGTTTAAGTAAAAAAAATTAAATACAAATTATAATAACATAAAAAGAAATTTAAGATACTTAAATTTGCTTTGTATTAAATTCTCAAATTAATTTTTTAAACTTTTTTCTTTACTCACAGTTTCATATGTTTGAAGCTGGACTAAACAACAACCTTTAATGAACAATAATTATATATATATTTAATAACAATTTAAGTAACTATATATACACAAGTTATAGAGTATACTTCAATAACTTAAATACCAATTCATATTTTCTTTGGGTCAATTGGTTAAAGAACGCTGACTCTGAGCTTTAAATTTCGCAGGGTAAGAGTTCAACCCTTGGTACTTGCAGTCTCAAAGAAAAACTATTTACGAGAAATTAAATACAAAAAATAAATCAAAGGCCACTGATACTGATAGGTATTACTGGAAAAAGTGTTAGGGCCAGTAGTGGTTTTTCAAAATGTCGACAATATGTATACACTTCAACATAAATTATTTGATAAAAATCGTTTCCATGAAAGAATATCTCTAAAGTTTTGGAATGTCTCAGCAGTCAATGGAACTTAAATCTGATTAACCAGCTCGTTGCTATAATGCTTTTAACTTCAATTGACTGGCACGAGTATCATTGGTAGTCCTTCGAATAATGTAAATAGTGGTATATTCTTGATGGAATATATTTTCCTCTTCTATAAACCGGAATTATTTTTATAAGCTTTCACATTATGTTCATTTAAAAGGTTGTAGTAACGATTTTAGTATACGTAGAAGAGAATCAACTAACAAAATATATCGGTACAGTACAAAAAAAGAGGTTCCACATCACACCTAAATATCTGAATCTGGTCCAAAATTATTTTAGACGACCTTGGTCTTATCCACGGTATTAAAATAAGCAAAAAGCTCCATTCTAAACTTTCTGACATGATTTAAATGTTATTGAAAACGTTTAATTTGTATTTTTGTTACATTCTGAAAGAAAGCAGCACCCACTGCCACATCAACTTCCAATATATTGTAAAACAGTATATATTAGTATATTGGAATGAAATTTTGATTGAGATCAATATCTCAATCAATATCTCAATAGCCTTGAATTTTAAGTTCTACTTTTGTTGTATAGTTTGACCTATGCAAGTGTTTTTCTATTCACATAAGATATCCGAATATTTCTGTTAGTACATCACAGCGGGCACATATCCCCAAAAAGGAAGATAGAGTGAATGCTTCAAATGTAGCTTGGTTGATAACCTTTAAGGTTTAAGGACCCTTTTTATGTTTGCTCCATCAATTGCTATTGGTATCCGGCTCAATAAAGAAATATTTCTAACATTTAGCATGCACTTTTAAAAAGATAATATCCTTTTTATTCTTATTTTCAAAATTAATCTCACCCTAGTATAGTTTTTTTAATTTCATGATATATATTATGCAAAGATTGCAATTGAAATATCCTTGAATATAGAAGTATACTCAAATACTGTAGCAAGAAATTATAAAATATATGGAAGTAATTTATAATCAATTTACTTTTTCAAAATAGTTATAAAATTTGTTGCCTTAAACATTATCTTTGAGCTTGGATAAGCAAAAAGTACATAAAACTCTAGTTATGAATAATCAATAGGAAATTTTCAAGGAACTCAAGTCAATAACTCGTAGAGTTTAGCACAAATTTTCGATTAAAAGTAAATAAAAAATTAAATATAAAGAGAGAAGGGAAAATATTGCAATTGCAATCAATTATTTAGATAAAGAAAAAATTGCATAAAAATACCATAAAAATCGCATTGGCAATTTTGAGCAGCTTTACTTTCCTTAACTAGCTTCAACAGAAACTCTATGAAAATCCTTGCAAAGAAAAGGAAGCTCACAAAAGTCATGGTAATTGTGGAAAAAATAGCAATTCTCGAATGATTTATTTGAATAGTTTTTGCCAATTTTTTTCTTAGTTTCAAATTTGAAAATAAAAATTACGTTGAAAGTCTTTAAAAATGCATTTATTTTTTGCTTTTATTTACAGTTGCGAGCTGGAAGGACGAAGGACGAAGTGTGAGAAAACAAAAATCAAGTTGATTTGCCAAACGAGCTTAAGGAATGCAGATTTATCAAGATATGAAGCTCTACGTCAAATTAAAATGAAATTCCAAAACTAAACAAACTTTAAAAAGTTACAAATCTCCAATAACTCAAGAATCGCGTTAATATAAAAAATAAAATTTTCAAATATTATTTCCAAAGCATGAGTCTAAGGACACACATCACAGTCGCTATAAATTGCTTTAAATAATAAAAATAATAACAATAATAACATATGCTTACTGCAAGGATGTGCAGTTTTTGAGGATATGAAAAACTAATGTCAACTTAAAAGCTAAGTAACAAGTTCTTGCGTAAATATCATTATTGTCAAAGCAAATACCAACAGAGAAGGAACATTGCAAACGAAAATATCATTTATCATTTGGCAAAGAATTTCAACGCAAATTTTGTAACACAATTTTTTTAAAATTTAAGGACATAAAAAAAATAAAACTAGAAAAGAAATTACAAAGATACAAGGATTTCGTAGCTTCACAGAAAAACGCATTAACCCCAAAAGAGCATTGCATAAACGGATAAATTACAACACTTGAACCGTCGTTCAAGGATATCGACGTAAACGCATTGACACATATGCTGTAGACTATCACTGCTAAGACATTAAATGCTTGCCACTGTGCGGTGGTGACAACAATTTTGCATGTAATTTCGGTAGCTGTAAAAATCATAGAAAGTACTCACAAATGTTACCCATACCAACGCCAATGCATTTACTAGAAATACGTATCATTTTACTCTGCCTGCCATCAATACTGCTGGCGACGACACTTGAACCAGGTAAGTACACACATTAGCCATACTTTTTCCATACGAATTACTACATTTTTATTTTGTGTCCTTTAAAATGAAATAACATAATATATCAGGAGCCAGAAGGTTATTCAGTGGGATTTTCTGTCTGCTGCATGAGACAACTGATTGTTAAATTCGTGATTGATGGGAAAATGCATAAAAACTTTTAATTATAAATTTGTTTTCGTGTACACAATTAATGCTTAAGTAATTAGTTAATTTATTTGAAAAGCAAATTAACTACTTTGTATTAAGTATTTATACTCGTATTGTGTATAGGCGAATAAGACCGTCACGTTAGTCATATGTTTCTTTTTAATTACCTGGCTTTGAACTGGGATTACTTAGTTGGGAGTTCTCTCTGATAGTAAGTGCGAGTTGGCTTTTGTCTTGTTAGGGAAGGTTTAAAGCACAAAATATCAGTGCTGATCCCACACTCAAAAAAATTATTTGGTTAATTTAACCAGATTTTAACTAAATAACAAGTCAAAAAACTCTAATTCATACCATGGTTACCATACCAAGATATGAAATCTTGGTTGTTTGGTTTTTATATGTTCTTTATCACATGAGAAAGGATTACTGGGATAATATACCAGGATTAAAACAATCCAAGTCACTTATTGGCACCTATAACAATAAGAGATACCAGGATTGTATGAACCTATCAAAAGAAAAACTTAATATCATCACAGGAATCCTAACAGGGCACTGTAGACTAAAACACCACCTTACAAAACTGGGTATACTTACGGATGCAAACTGTAGATTCTGTGAAGAGAATGAGGTGTCGGCCACACATGTGCTGTTAGAATGCCCTACTCTAATGCATGTACGAAATAGGCTCCTAAGAATGTATATTCTTACGGAAGAGGCAATAAAACTCTGTAAAGTAGGTTCTATACTACTTTTTATTGATGCAAGAGCGCTTAAAGACCTACTCTAAGCCCAGAAGGGAGCACAATAGACCCGACGGTCGCAGTGCTACATCCCTTAACAATAATAATAATAATATCATATGAGCTAAAATTTATTTAACAAAATGATCAGATCTATTTAACTAGTATGTGGTTAGAACATATATTTCATAGTGCGTTCTGTAGAAAATTCATACCGCTCTGCTGTTAGGACATAGTTAAACCTTATATTTTGGTCTTCTTTATAGCTAGGGTCATTTAGCAGCATAAAAGTTCAGCCATAAGAACAGTGTTTCGCTCAGCTGAGAGATCTTATTCCTCTATAATGTTCGGATGTTCTCTACAACTATCATTTCGAAGTATATTCAAAGAACTTCTGTCCTTTGTTTAGTAAGAGTCAGTTAGATGGACAAAAAATTCGCTGAAAGGTTCAATTCCTCTATGATGCTAGGGTGTACTCTATAACTTACATTTTGACTTATATTCCAAATGCTTCTGTTGTTTAGTAAAATTTAGTTAGAAGGAGAAAATATCAGCTATGACTGCTGCCCTGATAATTGTTATCTCTTTATGTTTTTATGATATCAACAACACATATTATTTTGGCTTGAATTTAGAATAATATGCTATAACCACATAGTAGATAAATTTTAACTCATGTGATTAAGAAAATATGAAAACCAATATGTGGTATAAACACATGTTTATTATTATTATTATTATAATGTAAAAGAGATAGTACACTGTGACCTGAAGGTTCTATTGTGTCCCGTATGTTAGTTGGATTAGAAGGTTTCTCCAAGTCCGTTTTCTTTAATGAAACAGTTTAGACCCTATTTTTTCTAGTCTTGAATGCATCTAGTTCATGAAATCCGTTCTAACTGTTTCTTTCGCTTGTGCATCAATGCCGGGCACTCACCTAACAAATGGTATGCGGTTTCTCTCTCTTCTCTACAGCATCTGCCATCTGCGTTATATTGGATGTTTAACTTTGTTAGGTGATTATACAATCTACAGTGACGGGTTAGTAATCCCATAATAATTCTTAGGTTATCAACATGTTGCGTCGATTAAAAATACTTTTACCTGTGTTTTAGTTAAAATATAGTTTATTCTATGTTTAGACACACCTTAATTTCACTAAAATCTTAATTTTATCTTCGTTTCAACGAAATTAAGTTGTTGTTAAATTTAATTTTAAGGTTAGAACTATATTAAGAAAAAATTGCCTTAATTTCGCTGAAATGAAGGCTAAAATTAAGAGACATTTCAAATGCAACTATGCGTAAGATAAATTTTAAGTAAAAGATAATGTTGAGATAACGAAAAAATGACATTTTTTTTAAATAAATGTCAATATCAGTTGACTTTAACAAAATTGGGAAAATATTTTAAGAGTAGTGCAAATTTTTCAATTTGAATATAGAGAAAAAACTGCAACTGTTACTAATTTAAAATAGAGTGAAAATAGTAATCCACAGACCTGAAATCCACTAAAGCTGATAAAAATACTGAATGTCATCCTTTAGTTAAAATAATCAACTTTTACTATTTCCCAGACACAAATGATGCTTGGAGCATGTAATTCCTTAATTTTGGAATTCTTTAGTTTGGGGCAGTATGAACACTTTTGAAATTAACTTAAATTAATTTTTACCAAATCAAGAAAACTTCGTTGTTGAACATAGTTTAATCAATCAAATTATTTTGCTGTGTATAAGAAATAACCTTTTTAAAAAGTCTTGCTCTCTTTCAAGTCCATTCTATATGACTCTTCTATATTAATATTTGATCGACTTTTGATATTTTTATATAAACCACACACAGTTCTTATTACACAATTAAAAATTTTTAATATGTTTTAAGATAAACATTAAGTTAGTCTTTGATTTCAGTCACAATGCCTACACAAACAGATTAGGAAATTTAAATAAATATAATTGATTAAAAATAAAGTCCACATAACGCTCATTAAACTTCGGAGATTAAAGCATTGCTGGGAGGCGAATATTGTGGTACCAAAAGGCGACACTCTATTTAAGGAATAATAAAATTAAACGAAAATAAAGTTATTTCGAAATTTCCGTTTTAAATTAGGAGCTGATGCTCCACGCCCACACGTCTTATCTTCCGCAAGAAATAAATACAATTTCACGTTCCAGGAGCAAGTGTGAGCTGCATGGCTGCCAGCTTATATAAGTAAATAAATAAGTACACGTACTCGCACACACTCACACGTATCCTCAATGCCATATAGCTTATATGCCACATGCATAGAAGTACATAAAAAGTTTGAGAATTTTCAGATTTATAATCCGCTTCACGCTTCGAGTTTTATTATCATTTTCCGTTGCGTTAAGTTGTGTCCTTTTTTATCATTTCAGTCACTGGCTTTTGTTGCTACTTTCGGTTTATATTTAAGCTTTTTTTCAAGCTTTTATTTTTCCTTTGCTTGTTGACACAAAACGTACACCTGCGGCCAGTGAAGTTAGTTTTAATGTTTTTATGTACAGAGTCATTTCCTTCGTACATTTGCCGTTATCCTGCGGCACAATTTCAAATTAAAACTTTAAATTTATAAATTTTGATTGCAATTTTAAATTACAGCACATTAGGAGTGGAAGCAGCAGAAATGAAAATTGCTGCCTGCAATAAAAATATTTGCAGTTTGTTTAAGTGATTCGACTAAAATTGCCCGAAAAATGTTTGTCATACGCAGTGGTGTACTGCAGCTGGCGGCTGTTTGCAATTAAAAGTCAAAAATTTTCATAAAGAAGAAATTAAAATAAGTAATAAACACAACAGTAAATAGGTAAATAAATAATGAATGGATGGATGAATGGAAAATAAATAAATCATAAAAATTAAAAATGCCAAAGATGTGCAAATACGAAACCATTTTCATATGAAATCCTACCCGCCACCTACCCTCTATTTGCGTCACCCACAATAATAAGGACAATAAAAGCGACGCCTGGGAGAGATTAGCAAGAACAGTAATAAGGCAGGACCGTTATGAGATAACTGCAGACAAAAACATTGACAACAATGTTGCCACCTGTCTGCATAAAAGCCATAATTTTTTCTTTGGCGAAGTAAGAAACGTTTTTTGAATATTGTTTACGATTATTGCTCGCCTTTGACCTTAACTTTTGTCAGCGCTTCTACATTTTCTGCTGCTACTGCTGCGGTTTTGCATAAATTATCACTTTTTTTTTATTATTTCTCGGAATTTTATGGTTTTTACTGCTTTCATTGTGTTTTGCTCCTCCGCTTTGGTTAGAGAAATTGAAAAGTTATTAACAGTTTGTATCTACGGTACACACCTAATAACAATGGAAACACCTTTTCAAAGTTATACTTTTTATGTTTATGTATTTTGCTGTTATTTGGGGACCGACAAACATAGGTGGAAACTACATTGCTTAATATAACAGCATGAGACAGAAATTTCATTAATAAATAATTCAAACAGTTTTTAATAATAATAAAATTCAACTTCAATGACTGAAGCCATTATTAATATTTGTTTAATAATACATTTTAATGTATATTTTTTTTCTTTCAATGTTTAGCAGAAATTATTTTTTAATTATAAATTATTGAAATTAATTACAAATGATAGTGTGGAAATAAATTAAGCTAAAAAACATTTAAAAATATAATTTTTTTTTTTAAATCGATACATTTGATATATAGCAGGACAAAGTATTCAATACTACAGTACTGTACATACATAATTCGTAATTAGATTCTTCAATTACAATTATATCTGTTAATAAGAAACTCAATTACAAATTACAATTATGCTGTAATTCGTAATTGTGGTTATGTAATTATAATTACATTTGTAATCTGGAAACTCAATTATCAATTATAATTACTCTGTAATTGTAATTTAATTTGTAATTTAAGCTTTATATGTACCATATAAATGCGCGCTGAAGATAAAATTATTCAATACTTCGTAGAAAACTCAGATTTAGTCAAATTTAGTAAAATTTTTCACATTTTTATTTATTTTTTACCAGTTCCATCTGTTTTTCTGCTTTCTCTCTGCAATTGATT